AGGCCTAATCTGTGGGATCTAATCGGTCTATTGGAGGTAATTGGCAGCAGGCGGTCTCTCAAGTACATATGGACTTCAATTCCCAGAATCCCCCAGCCAGCTATGGCTGGCGAATTCTGAGAACTGAAGTCCACAAGACTTGAAAGTCAGAGAGATTGGACCACCTCTGGTCTCAAGCTTACCTTTGGGTGCCGAGGACATGACGGTAACACTGTTGCTGTTGCTTCCCGGGGCGGGCTGGATGATGGGGATGGCTTGGGGGGCAGTGATGACTTTCCCGTTGGGGGGAGGCAGGGTGAAGTGAATGCTGGCGGCCGCGGGTGTGCCTGCTGCTGTTGGAATCTTCCCCCCGGCCACCTGCAGCTGCTGAGGCAAGGTAGGTAGGATGTACTGAACCTGAGTGATGCTCCCAGCTTTTCCTGCTGCGCCCGAAAAAATGCCTTGGGGCTGCAGGATGCTAAGTGGCACCGGCCCATTCTGTCCGGAGGGATTCTGGGTGATGAACTGGACAGAAGGCTGCTGGGCAATGGCCCCAGTTGGCAAAACAGTCACGGGGACGCCAGCTCCTCCGGCACCGCTGGCTTGGCTGTAACCTTGGGTTCCTACCAGGAGATTGGTCACGACACTTCCTTGGGTGGGAGGGCACTTCCCCACCGCAGCCAAGCTTTGGCCCAGAAGCGGTCCAGCGACTAAGTGAGGAGAGGTGGCTTGGATCCCAGCCATGGCAGAGGCCTGCGGCGTCTTTTTATCGGTGTAGAGCAAGCCGAGCCGGCCGACGGAAATCCCTTCGGCCTTCGCATTGCCGTCGGACAGCGGGGGGCTGACCAGCGGCAGCGCCTCCCCCGTCGCCCGCAGGAAAGGTTTGCTGGCAATAGGTACAGGAGTGCTGCTAACGGGCTTGACCACGTTGGTGACCACGGTGGAGGCAGTCCGGACCAAGCTGGGCGATCCGCTGTAGCCGATCACCCCCATGCTCGGGGTGCTGAGGGATGGGGCGGTCACCAGCACGGTGCCAGTGGACAAGCGGGTCGAATCCGGAAGCACCAGCGTCTGCATCGCCCCGCTGGGCGGAGAGATGACGGAGTGGGCGGGGACAGAGAGGGGAGTTGTTCCGGCCTCAGGGGGCCCCTGGGGACCGCCTGCGCTGTCCACTCTCTTCCGCCTGTAGGGGGCAGCCGCTGGGTCAAAGCGGGCCTCCAAGCGCTTGGTTGGGGTGTTGTGGGGACGGAGCGCTCCGTGCGAGTCTTGGGACTTGAAGGTGCTGGGGGACATCTGGAAGGAACTGTAAGGTTTGGGTGGGGTCTGCTCCTCGTGACTGTGAGGGGGCGGTAGGGGCGGGGGCGGTGGGG